TTTCGGGTTCCAAAAGAAATCTAAGTTGCCTAACAGCATTGAGAAAACTAAATTAATGTGTTACAAACCTCAAATCCCAAACCTACAATTTCTTATCTGGCTCTGAAAAATCAACTTCGAATCAAGCTCGAATCCAACAAATCAGAAATCATTAAAATCGATCCAGCCGGTCTCGAGTTACAAACTGTTGAACTAAAACGACTTTGTTATATATATATATATTATATAATATATTAGGATAATAGTTTAGTTATATAATATTAGTAGGATAAGTCACAGAGTGTTTATATAACACTAAATGAACTCTCAGACTCATTAATAGGGCAGTTTCTCTCAGAACTATTATTACAAAGAAAAGGCCGCTCTGGCGCAGTACAGGTCTGATTTTGGGTGGTAGATTATAGTGCTGGCGCAGTACGGGCCTGTTACCTGGACTCTCGGGCGCAATACGGGCGCCCCGGAAACGGATACCGAATTTGCTATTACATTTTTTAGTAGTCATTGATGCTTTGATAATCATATTAATTTTGTCTGCTGTCTTTAATGCTAAATTATTTGTTTAAAATTTTGTATGGTACCTATAGATATAGCTTCTTTAATATTTCAAAAGACTGTATTGATAAGGCACATCAATTGACGTGCGAATAGTCACTTCGTATTTCTAAAGTGTATAACAGCTGACTTGGTTTTGCTAATGATTTATTGTGAGAGAAGAAACTGAAGATGGAAGGATCTGTGATTTAATATTATGAAAAGTGAAAGTAAAAAATGTTAATTTAAATTCAATAATTAGTACTTCTGCAACTTCAAAATTGAAATTTAAACTGTCCATAATAAATTAAAAGATATGTAATTAAGGGAGATAAAGGTAAATCATGTATGTCAAAGTTTTATTCGAAGATTTGGTCATTTTTATCATACCAGCCTACAAAAAAAAATTAAAAATTAATCAAAACTAAAATGGTGGTATCCACTACTACTTACGAGATTTAAAATTCATAACTTAAACGTTACTATAAAGGCCATAAAAGTTGAATTTTGTTTCTAAAAGCGTTGGCGGTTTTGTTACTATTATATGCAACAGATGTAAAGATTAAAATGTTTCTATTTAGTGTCTTCCCGTTGCAAAGCACGGGTACAACAGCTAGTTGTAAACGTCCACTCGTTGACTATGGTTATGCAAGTCGTAGGAATGTCGGTACTGAGAGCAGCCATCTCACTAGGACACATTCCAGAGATAGGGTACCAAAACTAATTGAACCCTGTACAGTCCCAGACGTTATGGGAAAATTGCGAAGACGCTGCTGACAGTTTAACGTGGTTAGATAATTCGCAAACACTGTCTTTAGTTACAAGGGCGTACCCAGGATCAAAACTAGGGGGGTGGCAAGAGCGTACTTGAAACAGGGGTGCTAGGGGGTTATAGAATACACCCCTGCGGGAAAATGTTAAAAACAATATGCTGAAATTAGCGTTTTTACGGTATTTTGAGAAATTAATATAGCAAACCTAGATCGATAATCCAGTGTTTAAAGTCTTAGTTTATAAAGTGGCTTTATGTCCGTCAATGGGGTCAGGTAAGGTTGCTTAGCTTTACAATACACATTTAACTGTATTTTTTGTGTCCATGCGAACTTTTCACATCCATTTATAACACCCGAAAAGTATGGTAAACTATTTTTAAGAATGCCTTATAACTTATGCCGTAGAGCAATTTTGTTCGTTATTATTGTTGAAGGCAAATGAAAACAAAACAATGTCACAAACAATAGGTTTATAATTCATTATACTACACAAAGTTGTTAGTTTATACATATTGCAAAAAATTTGTCTGATTATTACTACTGTTGGAGTTTTTATTTTATTGAAGAAATGAATCAGAAACTTATAAAACATTGATAGCATGTGTCAAAAATGTTATAACAAATCTGTAAACTATCTAATACTAATATTTTTTCGTACTAATATTTTTTTTTGCTCTCAATTCTTTTATACCTTACTAGCTGAACCCGGCAGACGTTTTCTTGCCTTTGACTATTTATAATTTAAGTACTGTAACGTTTAATTGTCTTATTGTATATGAAGTGCTTATAACTAAATTAAAATACGTACGACAACTAATGAAACACATATAGTACAAAGGATAACAGATTCTTTATTATTGCTCTTATATTAATGCTAGTGGGTAGACAATATTTTTGGTCTTTCTATTCGGCTCAATCACGCCTGGTTGAAGTTCGTTCGCTACGCTCACTCACCTTTAGGTTGGAGCTCGTTCGCTGTGCTCACTTGCCTTCGGGTTATCTCGTTCGCTACGCTCACTTGCCTTCAGGTTAGCTCGTTCACTACGCTAACTCGCCTCCAGGTTGAAGTTCCACTCACCTTTTGGTTGCAAATTAGCTGTTGTCATAAAAATGTAAAAGAAATAATAGTGCTGCACCCTGTTGGTAATCCTTGTAACTTTAATGCTATTGAACATCATAGAACAGAACCAACTTGTTTAATTGAAACAGCTGTTAAGATTCATTAATTCCATTTCTCATAAGGTTAACATGGGAAACTCCAGAGCCACTGGGGCGGAGCCGATTGGACGGATCACGAAATTGATGGTGTATAAACCTATTCCATGAAATTCTACACGTATGTACCAAGTTTCGTGGCAATTGGTTCAAACATCCTCTTTTATACTTATAGATCTCTAGGGGGGGGGGGACAGCTGACCCCCTGCCCCTCTCTGGTTACGCCCATGTTTACTTAGGTAGATATAGGAATGGGGAACTCTGGAATCCAATGCATATCACTGCTCACTCTACATGGCTAAAAAGCGTGTTTTCCAAGCCAAGCGTGACAAGGATGATATGGCTTGCTGTACCTTTCTAATTTAATTATTTGTATTAGCTTTATTTAGGGAAATTTAATTTCCAGAATTGTTAACATTTTTGAAATTTATTGTTAGTTTTATGTGAAGGTGCGTCCAAAGTACAGCAAGCCTGGGCCATGCGTTCAAATTTCAAAATGGGTGCCAGTACTCAGGTTACTGTTTGTTTGACTATTCTAAGAAGTGACTCAGCATGTAAACCATAGGATTGGAAGGTGGACTGCAATTTTGAACCGCATTTTTTATTTGAATGTATTATTTTATCAACGATTGAGCTCATGATGAGAATGTGGACTGATATTTGCACGAGAAGATACCACCTTAATTGCATGAATTGTAAAGGGTTGCATGATTGTATTTTACAAAATATTTAAATAAAGAGCTGCGAGTGCACATACACATTAGAGAAGGACTCTGAAAACTAAAGGATTGCCTAGTCCTGGTGGTCACTGAAGTGGTAGAGACTTGGCAGTCGGTTATTCTGTGAGCCATGCCCACATTGCCCTTATATTTCCAAGAAAGTTTAATTTACGGGCTTGTTTCTTTAAAACTCTGGTGACGGAAGGTGGAACACCTCAATTGAAGATAAGTTATAGAGTAGTGCAAAAGTGGTAAACACTTCCAAAAATTAATTATTTTAGACTGTTTAGTACCCTATATCAAAATGGAAATAGTTACAACAGAGTTACACAGTTACACAGAGTTACATACTTTAATACTTTTAATACAGAGTGGAGGTATACACAATACTCTTTTAAATACCCGCGCCACAAAAAACCTGCAGACTAAACGAATTTCCTTTTACTAGGCTGGATTTCTACTAAAATATTCCCTAAAAATTGCCAGATTTATTAAGATATACAAAAAAGTTAATTATACTAATAGTATAGTAGTAGTTAAGTTTAGTATAGTAAGTATAGTAGTAGTTAAGTTAAGTAATTAGTGTGGATGAATTTAATTATGTTTGCTGCTTCAGGGAAGATATTGGGGGGTGTTTTGTTTAGGTATTGCAATGTTGATAGCTTAGGATTAAGGCAGATGATACGCATCCGGTAACCGGACGTGGATTATGTGTCCGGCAGTTACTGTCATAACCTAACCTAACCAACCAAACCTGCTGATGATGAAAAAATTGAATGAAGGTTAAATTCTCATCATAAAATAACATTATAATTGCAAAAACAAAAGATGTACAGTTAAGAAAAAAATGGCATTCAAATCTTTGACAAAAAGTGAATGACGGGATTCGAACCAGAGGGACCTCCTGTATATTAGCCGAGCACTTCACCTCACCACGAACACCGATGGCTGTACATCGTATCGTTGTGGTAATGGCGTTCCGGGCCCTCACAACCCGGTGACGTCACTGCCGGACGCCTAATCCACGTCCGGTCACCGGACGCGTATCCTCTGTGTTTTCGTTTGGCAGAGGATACGCGTCCGGTAACCGGACGTGGATTAGACGTCCGGCAATTACTGTCATAACCTAACCTAACCAACCAAACTTGCTGATAGTGAAAAAATCGAATTAAGGTGAAATTCTTTCTCTATAAAAAAAATTATAAATGCCAAAAATTCTAATAAAAGATGTACAGTTAAGAATAAATGGTATTCAATGCAAACTCTTCGACAAAAAGTTAAAGTCATCAATGGGATTCGAACCCTGGACCTCTTGCATATCAGCCGAGCATCTTATCCACTACACCACGAACACCGATGGCTGGTCATTGTATTGTTGTGGTAAAGGCGTTCCAGGCTCCCGCAACCCCATGACGTCATTGCCGTACGCCTTATCCACGTCCGGTTACCGGACGCGTATCCTCTATGAAACGAAAAAGTAAATCAGACCACAGACCCGGGTCTAGGTCTTATCATGAGACCTACGATAATAGCTAATTCCATATATGGAAGATTCCGCTAAAACAGATAATAATGCCAAATAATGCATATTTATTTATGTGTTGATGATTAAAATCAATGCTTAGTATCCTATATATGTTACACATTTAAATGTAGCACATAGCTTTCAAGGTTGGTCATAGCCTAGCTAAAAGGTGTGTTTAGGTTTCGGTGTAAAAAAATGGCTTTTTTTATAATTCAATTCAACAACAACAAACGCACCTCCATTTAAAAGTTTGTAATAAATTTGTACAGTTAGTTATCCATCATACAGCATTGTGTATTTTGTAATAATTAATTTTCAGACATTCTCATTTAAGATTTAAGGCAAAAAAGATTGTTCTTCGCATTGTTTGAATATTTACGAAAATGAACGCGGCTAACCAGATGAGGCTCAAATTCTTGTTTCATTGCTTTGGAAACCTCTTCGTAACTGGCACCAATGCAAAGGGAATTCTTAGAGTAATTACCTTGAACGATTCGGTTATCAAAAGTAAGTAAATAGTAATTTAATACGTTGGGTTACATGGTTCTTCACCTTAGCCCTCTCAGAATTTGGTGTGGATTAGTTTATAGGCCTAGCCTAAACATCCTAGCGTAGGCCTAGGCCTACCTAAGTTATTCATGAGACATTCAAAGGGCTGGGTCGGCTGTCCTTCCTTCAATTATTTCTCCACTCCAAAAGGCTTTATAGTGAATTTGACACCAACCATTTTTAAGAACATGAGTGGGCCTAAACTTATTGAATTGCTTACATGTAGCCTAAAATAACAATGAAAATGGCTAGGCCTAGGCCTATCTACTTCTAACCTAGGCATTTTCATTAGGCCTATCCCAATCTCCTCTAGTGTTGGCTGTTGGGTATCGATAGTTGATATATAGAAAATATTTATGTTTGGAAAATGATTTTTAATTGATGTTTTTCCATCTACAAGTATGTAGGCCTAACTTATAAGTTGATTGGGGTACAGTTTCTTAACTGGGCTACGCTAATATGATTGAAACTATCGATTCAATTCGCAAGCCTTCATGCGATTTTTTCACCATCAGCAAGTTTGGTTGGTTAAGTTAGGTTGAGAGAGAGAGAGAGAGAGAGAGAGAGAGAGAGAGAGATGCTTTATTTGCAATCTTCAAGATTGAAATAGTGTCAAAAATACAAAGTGTATATACAAACAATTAGATTGACATTCTTCTTCCTTTACAATAAAATGTTCGAAATATTCAGTCGTTCCGCCAGTTGGTGAATTCAGTAATCGTATAGAATGGACGACCTAGCAGCCACTCCTTCAGTTTTGTCTTAAAAATTTTAGGTTTTGAAGTTTTGACTTCATCTGGTAGTAGGTTGAAGAACTTCGCTCCGTTGTACGATGGCTTCATTTCAAACCGCTTGCTGTGGTGGGCAGGAAGGTTGAAGTCTCCTGCGCGCCGAGTGTTGTACTGGTGGGTATCTTCATTTTTGGGGAGACCCTTCAAGCAGGCGAGTGAAACAACTTCCAAGATGTAGATGTTCACCACAGTGAGAACGTTCCACTGTTTGAAAGGCTCTCGGCAGCTCTCCCTCCAGCCAAGGCCAGCCATGACTCTTAACGCTCTCTTTTGCAGGACCAGCACCCGTTGGATGATGTGAAGGGAGGCACTTCCCCAAAGCTGAATGCCATACCTAAGATGACTTTCAAAGAGAGAGTGATACGATGTTATTAGGGCTTCTGTCGTACTAATGCACTTGATGCGTCTTAGAGCGAAGGTTGCGCTGCTTAATCTCATGCATAGTTCGTCTATGTGATCAACCCATGAGAGCCTGTTGTCAATAACCAAACCAAGATGCTTTGATGATTCAGTGACCTGAAGATCTGGACAGCCAGAAATCTCATCTCTCTTCGTTCCCATGTTTACCTGCTTGGTTTTCCCCGCATTGAATACCAGGTCGTTCATGTTACAGTAATCAATTGCTAGGTTTAATGCAATGTAAGAGTTAACTTCTAGATCTTCAACTGAATTGCTTGAAGTTACTAAGACTGTATCATCAGCGTACATTAATGCTTTACTGTACGGCTCGATGTGTGATGGAAGATCGTAAGTGAATAGGATAAAAATCACCGGCCCCAGGATAGACCCTTGGGGTACGCCTCTTGAATTAGGAAGCAGTTCTGATCTGTATGTAGAGACTCTCCCATTCACTTTCTGTCGTAGTTGAACAAGTTGGTTGCGTCCCACTAGGTAGCTCTGAAACCATTTCCAGGCAACACCTTGCAAACCAAGTTCTTCAAGTTTTGCAAGGATCAGATTATGGCTGAGGCAATCAAAGGCCTTACTCAAGTCGAGGAAGACACTCGTTACATTCTCCCCCTTCTCGAGTTTGTCCACAATGTGTTCAATCAATTCTACCAAGGCTGTAACTGTAGATTTATTCTTTTGGAAACCATGTTGAGAATTTAATCTTATCCTGTTGATTTCTAGATGATCCGTGAGCCTAATAAGAACTATCTTCTCCACAAGCTTCGAGAAGGTAGAAACCAATGAGATGGGCCTATAGTTTTCTATGTCGTGTTTACTTCCTTTCTTGTGTATCGGAATTACTATTGAGCTTTTCATTTTGCTTGGGAAAATACCTTGGGACATACTTAGGTTTATTATATGTTGTAGAGGTGTTACTAGTTCATCTTTGCAGTGTTTAACCATGATTGACGAAAAATCATCTAAGCCTGAGGAAGTCTTGTTGTGTAGACTGCAGATAATCTTGAGCAGTTCTTGCTTAGAGGTAGGTGGAAACGACATCAAGGGAAATGGTACATCAAGTTGGGTGTGTTGTTCGATTCGTGGCTTCTGGTCAGGGATGTTTTTTAATGTATCTTCAGCAACTGATGTGAAGTAAGCATTAAAGCAATCAGCAAGTTTCCTGGGATCTTCTACTTTGTTTGAGTCCACCATGAGGTATTTACAACTTTCAGGTCCAAGCTCTTTTGACTTCCGCTCACTATTAATCACATTCCAGATAGCCTTCGACTTTATTGAGGACTCCGAGATGTAGTTGGCAGTGGCTGTACGACGCAGCGATTTCAGCTTTAGGTCGTAGGTTTTCTTTAAATGATTTGCCTGAAGTTTATCTTCTTCTTTTCCTCTTAGGATGTAGAGGTCTTGAGCACGAATGAAGTCTTCTCTCATAATTTTGGCTTCATCATCGTAAACATGTTTTACCGGATTTTTCTTCTTGCTTCGGGACATTGTTCGGGGGCATGTAGCATCAAGAGCTAAAGTAATGATTGAAATGAAACTATTGTAGGCATCCTCAACACATCTGTATTCTAAGATAGTTGTCCAGTCTTGAAGTGATAAAAGAAGTTTTAAATTATCTAAGTTATGTGGTTTGAGGCTACGGAGAGAGTAAATACAAGGTTTTGTTTGTGCTACAGGTAGGTTTATACTGCACAATTGTCCAGTATGGTCCGAAATTCCAGTATTGATAACTTGAACGTCAACCTCTTGCATGAAATTTGAGGATACACAGCACATGTCGATCGATGTTGAAGACTCCTTAGAAATTCTTGTAGGAGGAAGCTTAATTCGGTGAACGTTAAAAGTCGTTAGGAGTTCTTCCAGTTGTTTGCTTCTTGCTGATGATACTAAGCAGTCGATGTTGAAGTCACCCATGATGAGAATTATGTCATGCTGTGTCACCCAAGGGTCTAGAATTTTTGAAAGAGTCTCCAAGGAAAGATCAAATGCATCCTTGCCCTCTCCTGGGGGACGATAAACGCCCAGAACAAATAATTTTGCATGTTTATTAAGTTTTACAGCAACCGCAGAAACTTCTATTACCAAAGGGGTGCTTGCGAGCTCTAAGTTTATTATTTCAACCTCATTCTCAAGGTCAGTGTGTTTGAAGATGGCAACACCCCCTTTACTAATATTTGTCCTACAGTGGGCTGAGAGAAGATTGTAGTTGCTCAGCCGCGTATTGTTCAGACGATCATGATCTTGTCCATGTTCTGAGATGATGATAATATCTGGAGAAGTGGAATGGAGGAGGTGATTAAGTTGTTCGATTTTATTCCCCATGCAGTCAGTATTTTGATGAAATATCGTTAGGTTCTTGAGGCTCTCCTGAGGTTAAGTTATGATGGTTTAATTTTATAATACCGTAAGTTAGATACCTAGGCCTATATTTTGAAATAACTTAGGGGTATCGATTATTAAGTTAATCAATATTTTCAAGTCGATAAGTTAGTATTAATCAATATTAGCGTAACCCAGTTAAGAAACTGTACCTGTTAATTATTTTGTCTTCCGTTATATTTTTTGTAATGATATTTTACTCCGATATTTTTGTTGACGGCTATAAGTTAACTTAGGCGTAGGCCTATGTAGTAGGCTATATTTTTCTCCAATAGGCCCTAAGTTATTTACTTTTTACCTTCATTTGTCACAGCCATCAGTGCTTCGGAAAGTAAGTTAATTATTTCTCTAGCCTAAGTTATTTTAAGCCTGAGGTTTAAATCTGTGGTTATAGTCTTAAGTTAAACCACCATTGTTAGAGTTAACTTAATATAGATTTGGGGAAGTGGTCCTTTTGGGATAACTTTTAAATTCGAAGAAAATATTGTGAGGCAAACTTTTTTGGTTATAAACTTACTTAGGCTTAAGTTATTAATATTTTCCTGTACGGTAACTTTAAAATGTTAACCCTCAGTCGGTCACACCTAATCTATTAGATACCAAAACATGAAAAATTCCTGCTATTTTCATGTTCTCGTCCCAAAACCGTTCTTGGCCAGTTTGCTGTTTTATCCCCTCTCCCCAAACACCTTTTAAGTAGTATTGCTGTTAATTTTGTCCCGAGCACACTTGCTTTGTTTTGCTCTGTTGTATATCTGATAGATACAGTGTGACCTGTCCTATTTTTATTTTGTGATGTTGGCCTAAGTTATCTCAAAATAAAAACGGGACCGGCTTCGTTTTATGTGATAGGTATATCTACCGGTATGTTACGGTACCTGATCATACCAAAATTAGGTAACTTAATTCCATTTAACTTAAATATAGAAATAATAAAACTTTTTTCCCAGAAAAAAAATAAAATGTTGAGTTCAATGTGACATGCAGTGGCACTGGTCGCAATTCAATTTTACACAGGCGTGGTCTAATGGATGTGAAAATCGGGAAGGAATTACAAATCCCGTCCCGTCCCGAACTAATAATTTAATCCCCTCCATCCCTTTTTGTAGAGCTTAAAAAACAAATAATTTATCATGTTGAAGTCTTATTATGTGCCAAAGTGTTACAGAGAATATTAGGCTACAAAATATTGTAAATTTAAAATTCCCATATTATTCTTATGTAGAATAAATAAACTGTTGTAGTTTGCCTGTTTATGAACATATTTTGATCAAATTTTGAAAACGCATTTGTTTTATGCTAAACTATTACCAATTCACAATAAAAGCACTTTATTACCTTCCCTGTTGCAGCAAACCTAAGTACTCGTTAAACTAATACAATTTAGATGAGATATTTTATTGTAAATCCAATCAGGCAAATAGAAATTCGCTTAGTCTGCAGGTTTGCTGCGGCGGGGGTATTTATATATCTTCGAACACATATTATAGTTGAAATTTGTTACAGTAGTTAATATATATATATTTTTAAATGTTTTCTGTAGAAAAATCAATATAAATTGTATGCCATTTTCTATCCATAGTTAGTCATTGTGGACATATCAATGTTTAGTCATTGGTTAATTTACTATCCATCCTCTTACGTATAGCTGATAAATGTCAAACAAGTTGTAATCTTGCATCTGATTCATTTATTCTAATTTTAACTGAAAATTAATTTTACATTTCCATGTTTTAGGAATCAAAGTTGGCATTGTTGGGAAAATCATCATAGAATCTGATGAAAATGACAACCATTCGACCATCGAAAAAGTCTTCTACGAGAGTGATATACATGAGTTTCACTCCCCTGGTAAGTAGGTTTTCAACTTAAAATTAAAGTTTAACGTGCTAGGCTAGTTTTTACATTACCTACTAAAGTAATAAATCTGAGAATATAGGCCTAAGTTTTTGGATTCATTGTTTTTGCCAAATGCTCTTTTGCAAAATGTATCCGTGAACAACGTTTGTATTACCTACTTACAATTTTGCAGATTTGATCAACAGTGAGTACGACGAACAGCTCTTAGAGTTCTCTGTCCCGTTGGACAGCAATCTGCCCCCGTCAGTCATGTTGAAACAAGGAGGTATAATCTACTATCTCTACGCTTCCATGGAGGAAACATTCCAAGACGAGATCCCTCAGAACATCAACACTGAAGCAAATATTTCGGTTGTAAACATCGTTGACTGCAATACCATTCCTAAAGCTGCCGTAAGTCTAGTGCTAGCCGATCAACATGTCATCCAATCACACTTTATTTTAGATAAGAGTTGTGTTTTTTTTATCTTCTTCATATAATTAAATATATTAGTTTAAAAAAGTTTGATAAAAAATGCCATTAATGATTTAACTTTTCGATGATGATGTCAACACTGCCACGGGAGACGTTCATTATATTGCCGCGGCCCCGCTAGACAACGATCACGTTTCCTTGACCGCGGGAGACGATATTGACGATTATGCTGTTTAGACAGCCGCGGGAGTTGTTCATGATTTTGCCACGATCGCGCTAGATGACGATCAAGTTTCCATGACTGTGAGAGTTAATGATTATGTCTACATGGCCACAGGAGATAATCAGAATATTGTCGCTATTGCGGGAATCGTTGGTAACATTTCTGTTGGCACACCTGTAGTTAAAATACAATTAGTTTTTGTGGTTAGATCTTCACTTACCGGGTACCTTCGATATGGTGGTTAATGTGTTAAGAAGGGTTTAAACCCAAATTGGCTAATTAGAATTTATCATTGCTGCATTGATTTTTTTTTTACTTGAAAAACAACCCCACAGTATCTTAAAAATACTTTAGTATGACTTATATATAAGGGTTAGTATAACCAAATGATTTAGAAAATTTGGTAAGACTATAAAAATGGTATCAGTATCGAGAATCGTTTTCAGGTTTCAGTATCGTGAATTGTATCATTTTGATATCGACTTATCGCTAGCCTAATTGTTGAAAAAAGTAGGTTTGAAAAATTAATTAATCTTGAAAAGTCTGGAATTAGTCTTGAATTTTGAAATGGAAATAAACTATACACCCTTACTTCTCTGTGGTATTTTTAGGATGTAGGTATCCCTAAACATAATTTACAAAGTTTTTGATTGTTTACAGAGGGACAAGTCTATCGCCAATGCACCAGTGAAGATGTGCATGTGTCTGACGTCTGATGAGAACTCCAGTTCTCTGCAGGTCTCTCCTCGCTCGTGTGTTCCGGGAGACTGCCTCAAGATAAACGCAGTCGTGTTCAACTCAAGGCCTTACCCATTGTGTTTCGTACAGGCAGCTCTTGTACAGGTGAGCTATTTATCGGGAAGCTGCAATAAATAGGAAGAAATTACTGGATTTTTTATCAGATAGTTCACTAACTGTTAGGTGTCTTAATTTTTAATGGGGTTCTAATTCAATTGATTACCATTCCTCTGAAAATTTTACTTCCAGCTTTTTGCTCTTGAGACTTTAATCTTTAGAGTAATCATAGACAGTAAGGAAACAACTCGTTTGATTATGACACAGTTATCATCAGGGATGATTATGGGACTTCTTTATCTTCAAGATTGAACAACCATGATCATGATTCAAGTGTTTTATGAATTTAATATTAAAAATTAGAAAGAGACCAGATCAATAACATTTTAGGCTAGGTTTATTTATTTTTTCCATTAAAAACTTGAAATTCTGTTTAGATAAAATTTATTGCAGGTTAAATAATTATAGAATATTAGCTTTCCATGAATTCTAATATTTTTACTAGGGTTTTATGGATTATCACTTTTATTTACTCATAGTTTACGTTTAAGTGAAAATTTGTAAAATTATTGAAAACTGTTGTAAATTTATTTCTTATCATAAGGCCTACGTCATGTAATTGGTCGATTGATAACTGATAAGTAAGTCGCTTGATAAATTATAAACGAATAGCTACACTAAAGAAAGTGATAAGTTCATGCAAGTCTATTTAAACTTAACTAATTCTTTAAGAACTGTTTTCTCTAACAACATTTGATTGATAGGTGGGTTACTTTCATCAGTCTCTGACTTTAATTCACAGGTTTTAACACCAGAACGCTATCAACTAACGTTTCTCAGTTGTAATAGAACAGATTAAAATGACTACTGCTTTAGAACATCGTAACGATGATGATTTATAGGAAAACCACAAAAATTTTTATAACTTGTGAGTTGTGAACAATAACTTTTACACCATTGGAGGTTGTACCATTTTGTTCAGAGTCATAACCATTGTACCAAAAACAGAGTCATAACCATCATCCCATAACATACTAAATTGTAACCAAAATCAATAATCCAATTTTAGCAAATTTCCCTATAGGGAAGTAGCCATTACTGTAGGTGGCACGGTAAGACTTAGGCCCAGGACTGATTTACTTTTACATTTTGGTGTCCCCAGAGGCCAAACATGCCAACCAATAGATTTACATATGTGTTAGAGAGTTTTTGTATGGTTATTAATTATGGAGAAAAAAAACTGTAAATTTCAAATTCCTATGTTATTCCTGTGGAGAATAACAACGAAACGTTGTAATTTGCTTGTTTATGGATATTTTTTTATCAAACTTGACAAATTTATTTATTTTATTGTAAGCTATTAATATTTTACTAAAACACTTTATTAGCCTCCCTGTAGCAACAAACCTAGGTACCTTTGACTTGTTAAACCTAATGTTATTTAAATAGATTTAATTTAAAATCAATTCAGGCAAATGGAAATTTCTGTTATTTGATGGGTTTTCATGGAATAATCGTCATTAACAATGAACATTAGTAGGCCTATCCATATCAAATTACATCAAAATCCACAGGTGAAGTTTGTAACTCTACACACACATAGGCTACTACATCAAACCCAAAAATCAAACTAAAAAATGTTTATGCCACACTACACTATTTTGTCGAACTTCCCACGCAAAGATTTAGTCCAGAAAACTGCTGTTTGCCGCCAGCTTAATCAAATGGATTTTTATTACATACTACTGTAATGAGTTTTACCGGACACCAACCAGCTATACTGTATTTGGCGATGAGTGTTATAAACAATAACATAACCTCTCTTAGAGGTTATGACTAGTGATTGTTAGTCCTTAAGTTGGTGGTGATATATAAAGAATTGTACAGATTTAAGAGTATGGCGTGAACTATAGTACGTCACTCGTCCAAAATGTGTTTACCGGTCTCGTATGGTAATCCCGTACTCGACTTCGTCTCACACGGAAACAACCACACTCGTCCGGTAAACAGACTAGTAACGTAATATACTATTAACAATACACACTTACAGTAATTGCAGCACATATTAGTGATAACATTGGTTGAGCTATACTTGCTTAGATAGTTTCAAATGAAACTTTGGTTATCTAACTCGTGTGGAATTTTGGCCTTGAAGCACTTGAAAGGTTTAAAAAGTCACTTACCTTCCAGACTCAGGTCTTAGGAAATTTTTCCTAGAAGTGAAACTGGATTGGTCTCTGTGTTCCGCTTCCGCACCTTGAAAGACCCAGCTTGAAGTCTAACTCAATTACTTCCAAAGCACAGACATACATATCATGCTTATTTAGTACCATACACTACTCCTCATTTGTTCAAATTATTTTAACCTGGTTTTTGTCTATGTTGCCCTTAGAAAATCAAGTTGAAGTTTGAGAACTACAGCGTGAAAACGAATCGAGTGGTGTCAGAGACGAAACGCGGCTGTGTGATGCAACAAAGAGACCAAACGTGGCATCAAGAGTTGCTGCGTGTACCTCCACTGCCTCCCACCACTTACCACAAGTATCTCGACGTCACGTACAAGCTGCAGGTAAACAAAGTAAATTACCTTAGAATTGGTGAGTGATAAATCTGTGAACAAGGCCCAAATAAGACTAGGAAATTTAAGTTTTTGAACAATCATCAAAAAATCTGCCGTTTCCTCTCTTTTTCATCATTATGTTACTTCAGGTCGAGTCAAAGGGTCAAAATCGGGTTGTGCAAAACCAGGTTGCGTTGGAAAGTAAAGAAAATTTAATTATAGTAGGTTACTACAGTCGGTTTACACCTAATATTGTACATGCTCTCCTGCAAATCACGGTGAAACTGTGATCATCTGCAGTCGTGACAAAATAATTAAAGATCTTCTGGAGCTATAAAAAAATCCTGAACATATTCTGTTCTCACAATCACCTTGTGAATGTCTTTTCCCTGTCACAGAAACATCGTGAACATAATCCGAGGTCACAGAGAACTCAAGAACATCCTTTGCGGTTAAAACGAAATCCTAAACGTCTTTTTCAGTCATGGCAAACTCCTGAACATCTTCCACAGTCATCGTCTCTTATGATCGTAAAAATCTAAAAATCGTTGAATTTCAATCTTTCGCAAACGCTTTCTGTGACCATGAAACTAAAAGCCGTGAAAATTTTAAGGACCTGTTAGAAAGTACCCTATAAGAAATTCATTGTCGCGGAAAATAATAACCATCTTGCCATGCTCCGAGAAGTCGCCGTGATCTTAAGAAGTTATCATGGATAATGCTACGATTGCAGTATATCATCAATGTTGCCAAAATTGTGAGAGATGATCAGGTATGTTGTTGCAATTGGAAAAAATCATCAGTCATTGTTATGACCCGCGGGATATTGGTGTTGACATGGTCACTGGAGATGATCTCTGTGGTGTTCCCACATCCCAATGTCACAAAAATATACTATGAAAATTTTGAATTTTGTTTTCAGGGTTGAGTGAGAGCCCTGGCTGTTCATTGATCTTCTATGTTAGTGAGATCAAAGATCAAGCATGACTTGGCTTGGCAGTTTCCCATCCCAACTTGTAGACCGCTTTACGTGAAAATTCTAATTTCACAAAGCGTCACTCCCTGATTCAGTACAAACTAAAGATTTATTTCCTTATACTAAAATTTGTTATTGTTAGGCCCCGGCATATTATTTTACTTTTCAACTGGTAATTTTATAGGTTAAGGATATTGTAGCTGCTGTAGTTTGAAATATTTGAATTAATAGTTGTATACTCTTTGACCTATGCTATGATTTAGCTGCGAGTTCCTGAGAGACAGAACTTCAACGATACCTCAGTGCTGCTGACAGTCCCGGTGGTGATCGGCAGCATTCCGTTGGAGGAGTCCTTGGTTCACCTCAGCCCGCTTCCGGGATGTGAATCTTTCGGCAACAATATGCTTCCGATACCGAAACCCTATCAAGGTACTATACATTATGTGTTTAACTACAGAAAAGTTCGCATAGGTTTTAGAATTAACTTAATTGGAGGTTGTGTAAATTTTTAATTTGAACTTACAATTTTGGAATTGTAATTTTTTTAATTGGAAACGATGATTGCTTGTGTTTTGTATTCAATGTTCAATACAACCTGGGGTGAAGATTGTTGGAGGTTTGCTTGTTGTTTTGCTCTTTTCTCTGTTTAAATTAAGTTTGACGTCTGAAACAGCAGTAGTTCAACCATCAACTAGAAATAACAGTATTGGATTGTCTGTCAATGTTCACAATGAGATTGCTGAACTTTGTCCCATTCAGAAAAAATACATTTTAACAGCCACAACCCATTTATATTTTAAAGTAAAGCCAAATAGCTTGTTATGAATTATTCCGGAGGATGGAGTTCAGGTTGTTTGAAGTCCAGAAGCTAATAGATAAAAATGCAGCATATCATTGATATTTCCCCCTGCTATAGGACTTTACTAATCACAGGCTCACTTACCAGTCAGAGCTAGAAACTACATCAATACTGCAATCAACTACTGATGCAATCTCAGACATTAAGTCAGGGCTTTGCATTCCACCAACTAGGAGCTGCACCAAGATGTAATTGTTTTTGATAAACGATAGCTAACCCAACTTGTTAATTGATGTTTGTAGAGTTTGCCAGAGCTGATCGTTGTATCCAGGCTGACGAAGGACTCAAGTATGTGCCTTCTTACATCACTTACCTGTCAGATAGAGCCATGGACAACGTAGATCTTGAAACCTCCACGCCCGTCTAGTCATGCAAAAGCTTTACGTAACAAGTGCCTTTCCAGTTCACTCTAGCTTTGTACATGGTTGACGGCACAGCCTGATTGACGCCAAAGCTGTTTTTATCGCGATATTTCAGTGTGCAAATCGCAAGTACATTCGTTACTTGGGTCACATCACAGTTAACTAGTTGTAAGAAATGTTTTGTTCTGATATTCTTAGAAAGGTATACATTACCTTGCCTTGTTTATTTCATGTTTTCATTTGTGTTGTTTAACTAAGTTTTCCGAGTACTTAGGTTTGTACTTTTCAACGTTTGTTTTACCATATTGATATTGTGCTATTGGGTAAAATAGCATTATTTTGTTTGAGAGATGTTTTCCAGAGTTGTAGATCTGAACAGCCTAATAGTTTTTTTTATATAAATGTTGCATTACGCACATATTTAGTATGGATCTGACAAATTGTATTTGAATGTAAAATGACCTTATTTGTAAGCCAAATTGTCCATAAACAGATATCATTTGGATTGTAACAGACTTAGGTGCTACAACGAACAATAATATTTTAATATGTTGTAATTTTATGCTACCCCAAATTGCCAAATGAGACAATCATTGAACAGTATTCCATGCGCAACACGCTTCCTTATTGTTATGGGCAATTATGTGCAATGTTATAGATTTGTGACCAGTTTATTTAATGTGACACAATAATTTTTCACTGGAGATATGTTAAATAATTTTCAAATTATTTAGTAGGGCAAGTTACTTTAGGGATCTGATTAATTTATAAAAATGTAAAATGACTTGAATCTTCCAATTGTCTGTAAACAGTTCTCATAGATGCAACAACGAACAATATATTTTAATATTATAGTTTTATATGTTACCACAACTTGCCAAATGAGACAGATATTATATTCTTTTAAAAAAGCGCTTCCTAATTTTCATGTAATGTGCAATGTTATACTTCTGTGCCAAGTTTATTTTGCAATACTCTAATAAGGATTTTGAAGTAAGTATTTTTTTTTTCACTTTAAATAATTAATGTTGTCACTCATAAATTATTTAGTCAAGTCACTATAAATAGCAATCTTACTAATTTTATTTAAATGTTAGTTACCTTTATAATATTGTGAACAAAACCATCCATAAGCAGATCTCATTTTAATAAAATAAAACAACGTAAATATCATTTTATGTTACGGTACCCTAACTTGCCAAACAAGACAAATACAAGTAACTATGTATTTTTCATTTTTTGCAAATGGCTTTATTTATTTTTAAGTGCAATAATGTGCCATATGTTAATGCTTAGTTTAACGTTTATTTAGCAATACTCCGAACATAATATCTGTTATATTGTTTGTGTAAAGCCTTGTTTTATTTGCATGTGCACATCACATTGCATACATCACACAAATTATTTTGTCGGTGTCAAAATAGTTTTGTAATAGCTATCACACTAACTTTATTGAAATTTTAAGTTAACTTAAGAAGAATTTTGTGAATAAACCTTAGTATCTGTAAGATCTCATTTGAATTCAGGTGTTAGGAACAACGATCAATAATTTTCCAATATGATTATGTTTCCCAAACTTGCCAAACTAATATCAAATGTATTCTCTGCACAAACGCTTCCTTATTTTAAGTGCAATAATGTGCCATGTTAAAGCTATGTGTCAACTTTATTTAGCAATACAGTAGAACCTCAATAGTTCGATACTTGGTGACTAATGGGATGTTTATTTGAAACACGAGACAAAGCATAAAAATCTAATGAATAATATAAAACTTAAAAAAATAAACAAACTTATCAACCTGCATCTCTACTGTACATTCTTGGACTTCTTACTGTATAAAATAGTTTTTATTATTCAATGCCCTTTGAATGTTAAAAAAAAAAATTGTAAATTAATGTGATATTTAATGTATTGATTTTTATGCTAACGTGAAAACAATAAGAAGGCTTTAGTCTTTTACCTTGGCGAACCTGTCATCGGCCGCAGCTGACATGTACCATCCCGGCCAGTGTCGGAACTATCGAGGTTCTACTGTACTCGGAACATATTAACTTTATGTTTATACTTGTTGCATAATTTATTTAGGCCAAGTTTTGTTAAAGTCTTGCTTAAAGAAAAAGTGTTAAACAAATTTAATCTTGAAATAGAACTGTCTGTAAATCTATCTTATTTGTATTGTAACTGAAATTAGGGACTAAAACAAGCATTTTTAATTAAAATTTTGTGTTATCTCAACTTGCCAAACAAGACAAATACTCATTGTATTCCTTGCACAAAGCGCTTCTTTATTTTTAAGTGCAATTATGTGCCATTTCATAAGTTTATTTTATGTTACTTAAACATAATAGTTTTATATAGCTTAGCTTAAGTTTACTGATGTTTCAGTTGACAAACTACCCAATTCCACGGTTGTTTGTTATAATAGCTTTTGTATTCCTTTTGACTACTCAGGGTGCTTAGTTAATTGTGTTACCAATTTGTGGTATTAATTAAGTCATTACTACATGGTCAAAGTGTTTGTTTTTCAATAATAGAATTTTATATTCCCTAAAGAAGAATGAATAGTTAAGTATATTTTCCAAAGAGAAGTTTATTTTGTTTCATTTGTTTTCTTGCCATAGCTCTCTAAGCGTTGTGTTCAATCCAGTTCAGTATTTGTTAATAAAGATTGCTTTTCTACTTTTGACTCATTAATTTCCCAGAGATATATAAATCTAAATCACTAGGAGGACATTTTGTTTTTGCGTATTTTAGCTTTATTTTATTTGCCGTAGAAAAACAAGTTCCCTTTAATCTTTAATTTACAGTGGGTTTTCCTAGGTGCGGAGAGAGGAACGTGGAGAGCGGACTCCTCTTGTCTTAGGTAATTTAATATTACTTTTTTCCTAGAAGCGTAACGGAACTTCATGTTAATTGCTTTACCGTCCTCTGCTCTCTGCGCTCCTCTTCCACGTCCAGGAAAACCAAGCTTTAGTGCCAAAATTTATGTTATTTAAATAAGAAGTAAATATGACAACTTTCTGGGAGTATTTGAGTGAAAATACAACCAGATAAATTGATATTAACTTTTGCTACAGGTTTGCTGCAGTTGGGGTATTATTTAGGTTAAACATCTGTCTGTCGGTATACCATAATGTTGGTTGTAAATTAAAATACCTGAAGGCTGAAGGTCACTGTTTTAATTCCTAGCAAGATCGTTACGAGACCCAAATGTCATTTTTCACCAGGCTAACAATTAAATTATGATATAAATAACAAAAGGTCCACAATTGATAGTAAATAAGACTAGGATTTGAACCGTTCTAAATATACCGATAAGAAATGCCAATTTGTAGACAAATAAGATTCTAAACCCGCTGTTCTGAATCGAAAAGAGTTTTACTTGAATCCCGTGCGTAGCGACAGGCCCACAGATAGTTAGAAATAAATTGAATTGAGTTTGTATTTGAAATTAGTTCTTGGTTCGAATTTGATGAAGAAAATCAAATTACAAGTTTGCCATAGTCATAAACTCATTTACTATGTTACGTGATCAAGGAAGCATGTCCATAAAAACAAGTATTCCATATTCGTATTTAACAGCATTATATATTCACAAACAAAGTATATTCAACAACAATACTGTACATTCCACAGTGTATATTTATGAGGTTGTGCTCTCGACGTCTGCTGGGGGCTGCACTTTCTGAGGCTCCCTCACCAATGCCAATAGCTTGTCTAGTTTCCAAATTTCCAGCGTATGTTGATCAACGTGTGCTTGCTTCTTGGGAGGCTTTGGTTTGATTCGCAGGTTGGGAGATAGCTTCAGAGTTGAAATGCCACCTCTGAAACAAAAGTTTTGTAAGAAACACTACGGGAACTCCATTCGCTGAGACCTCTGGGTAATTTTTGAGATTGGTATTGGCCAGAGGTGAACACACAGTGTCATAACTGCATGAAGGGGACAATAAACCCTAACTGGGTTATACATTAGGCTGTAAGTTTTTGGTCTTTTTTTAATCCCCAATTTCCCTTCAATAATCGCAAAACCAAGTTAAAGTTCCAAAGTTGTATTCAAATTACCTATGATATTTCAACATTGATTGTACAACATGGTAGTCAGTGGTGAGTATAGAAAATATTTTTTTTTGGGGGGGGGCAAGATTAATGTAAGGTTAGGTTAATAAGTAGACATCCCATTATACTTTATGTCAGTTCTGCTGCCCATATTCAGAGGGTAAAAGGGGGTTCACTGTTCGGCTTCTCACATAATTCAGATTACAGCACTGCTTATTTTTTCTTCATATTCAATATTCATTATTTTGGGAGGAGGCCTGGGCCTCCCTTCTGATGGCCAAGAGCAAGATCTGAATCAAAGGATTTTCCCGAAGGAAGTTAAAGTGTAATTTGATAAAAAAAACTTCTATATAACCTATTTCAATGTAAATATTAGAATAATTATGCTACACAATGTAAAAATTGTCAAGAGCAATAAATAAATAAATTTTGATGTAAGTGTGAAAATCTGTTTTCTTAAAGCTTGAACGAGTGCTTGGTAAATAACTATGAATTACCCAGGTTTGATGCAGCAGGGGCATTAAATTTTTCTGTGGGTTAGCCTTTGCCCGCTGTGTAAATATAATCACCAGTATTTTTATATTCCAACAAACCTGTATACTCAGTTTTTGTTTTTTATTTTAACTATTATTATTATCTATAATATTATAATTATCTTTCAGAACTACACCACCCTTACTTGTCATCTCCCACAATGATGATCGGAAGTTTGGAGTTGAAGGCCAGTCTCGTCAGTTTGTTCCGTTTCTTCGACACAACCGACTGTATACAGATGGCCTTGTACTTGTTGACGTTCAGGTCAAAGACGTGGACTTTGCCGTCGACAGTGACAGCTGCAAACACCGTGCTGGAGTACGGGGCCCACTTAACATCTCCCACTGCACAGCCGAGATCAAACACAAACAACGGCTCGCTACAACAGAAATTGTCTGTCAAAAGCATCCTGCATAGTATGTTTTACCACAATGAATGTTCTACGAAATTAATACAACTTCGACTTAAAACTTCGATATTAATACAACTTCGACTTAATACTTCGATATTAATACAACTCTTGGTTTCATAGAGCTTCTACAGATACAGGTCTATTCTAAAAGTCCCTTAATTATCCACCTCACATGTACAGAACTAAAGAAACATAGGTAGTAATTAAAGTACAAAAGACTCCCTACCCGGACTCCACGGGACCAAGGTCAGTCCGGATAACCGTTATTTCCAGTAAAATATTGTTGTCCACTGAAACTCGTTAAATTAGGGTCTACTGTATCTTTATCATAAATCAGATAGTTCTAAAAATTTGTACTATTTCATAAAGCCCATCACCTGACAACTTATAGAATTTAGTTAGTTTAGACCAAGGATTACAGCTTGTCAAAGATGACCACTTTCCAAAGTAAACTTTTGTAGACATTTGTTATTGGACCTATAAAATTCTAAAGTCAAGATACGTCCATATAAGTTGCTTATTTAATATGAAAGTAGAGAATACCTTCAACCCCCCCCCCCCCCCCCAACAACGCAAAAATCTCCCCTCAATAAGGCGAACCCCCTCAACAAGAGAACAATTTTCAATAAAAGATTCCCCTTTTCCACAAGTGAGTCCCCTTCAATAACAATATAATCTACTCACCTCCTATTATCCTCCCAAATCTTCACCCTCCAGTCCGCACTGCAAGAGATGAAGATCTCGGGAGCAAACCTGTTGAAGTCTATCCGATGCACGGGCATGTGATGTGCGCTGTACGTGAACAGATACAGAGACGCGTATGCTGTGCTACACTTGAATATCTTCCCCTCCTCTGTGCCAACGAGGAAGATCAGCTGGTCCTTCGGGTGGAAAGCAATCGCTGTTCCACAACCTGAAAAACAATGTTTAACTTGGTGTTTCCTACAGCAATTCAGAATATGAACTTAGAATGCTAACGGCTTGGTTAAATATTTTGTTATCACATAATTTGTTCAAAATATTAGGAGTTTGTTTAAAAACAAATACTATCTCAACTCAGATATTTACCAATGGATAATAAACAATATTACAGTAAAAATTATGATGCAAATTGTATAGAATGATTCTTTAGCAGACCACCGCAAAATACACAATGGAAAAACACGCAAACTATAAAAATATAAAACAAACTTTACCTATGAATGTTAATGTGGTCTGGAACAAGGAGTCTTTTGTAAATGTCATACAGTGTCTCCAACTGTTTAACCCTTTGGACCCAAGACATTATTTCTTGAAATAACGGTAACTCTTATAATTTTCCTCTTATCTTTCAAACAAATCCACATTCTTACAGAAGTTTTTGCTGAATAAACATTGGTAAAAAGTAGGAAAATTCCTTATCAAATTTGCAACACGAATCAAAATTGTTAACTTTCACCTGCGCTGTCTATCGCTTAATTTTAAATAAGCTTCAGAATGGTTTAAACTCGTCATGAGTGGCATACAAAACCTGAAAAATGAGGTTTACACCCTCAAACAACAGTGCTGCCTCCTGGGTGGGAAATAACATTTTATATTTCTTGGCCAGACTAAATACCAGACCAATGCTCTTTCATTGGACTACAATAGTTTTACTCTTTGCTCTCAGTAGCTCACTTCAGGGCGTTGGTTAGGTACAGCTTTTACTTTTTTTCAACTTAAAACATAGCAGAGGTGAAGATTTTCTTCTTACCTACAATGTCCAATAAATAAATTGGGCATAATACAAAGTATTATAATGAAAAACAGCCGAACAGTCAGACAAACCTGTCAGTTTAATCACGGTCCCGTCAGGTCCGCTTATCGGGTCCATTTGCAGATACAAGACGATGACGAGTGTTTGAGCCAGCTCGTTCAACATGAGCACCCAGTTGAACACCTTCCCATCCGCGGACACTGAGTAGAAGTTCATCTCACCGTCTTGTAAATCCTCACCCCAACACACCTGTCAAACAGAGCAATGGTGATTGGTGATTTGACAAGCCATCTTGCTTTTTCATGAACACAACATCCATTGAGTAATCAAAGTTTGCAGCTAATACATTGAGTTAGAGTTTTGTGTGGATATATCCGTTTTGGGTCCCCCTGAACCCAAAGTGGTTTTCAAAGTGATGTCTGTGTGTCTACAGACCACACTTGTGGTCCGATTTTGATTAAATTTGGTATGTGCGTACGGTATCTCCAAGCGTTTTATTTTTTGAGAAATTTTTTTTAATGGTGATTTTTCCATCAAAATCCATAAAATAACGGAAAAGTTGAATGATTTTATACATATTTAGTATGTTATACCATAGTCCTTTCTCATTAAAACAAAACTGTACAATCTCCATTGTTGTAAAAATTACGGTTCAAATATTGCAACTCTTGCGATTTCCCCATAAAATATCATAGTTGCTCCCACTGCAACCCATGATAAAGGTTAACAAGCTAACGGGAAAAAGTATGAGTCAGATTGTTGATAATGTGTATTTCCTATCAACTCTGTTTCAGATTCTCAATCTTAAATCTACTCTAAATAGTTACAAAGTTAATTAACTAACCTCCCAAACAATGCCTCCGTGCTTGTTCATGACGGAGTTGCTCTGGAACTGGCACTCCCTGGACGGCAGTTGTATGTTGTAGACAGCCACGTTGCCGTCGTACAACCCCACCACCACCAGGTAGGGGTGCTGCGGGTGGAAGTCCAGGCACATCACACCGGAGTCCGTTGAGTTTATGTACTCTGGATACGAGGGGTTCTTTAGCGTGAACAGGCAAAGGTATCCTTCCGTCACCTGCTTCATGAAGTCAACTGTACAAAACAAGCGATGTTAGTGACGTGAACAGGGCCGCGGTTAGAGATAACTGCGCTACTCCTTCCTTGAGGGCAAATTTTTCTCATTCTTGTACCCCCAAAAACCTTAAACCTCTTGTGCCACTGGGTCCATTTACTTAAGTGCCCTAATGGATCAAAATAGGATTAATTTCTTTTTGGGAGAACGTTTGTTTCTCATTAGGTGTGTTGCTAGTCTAGTGGTTAGAGTCTCTTCGGTGCAAGAGAGACAACTCTCAGCTTTCTCACAACATTTGATGGGTTTGGAGTGAGTTCCCTAAAAAGTGATTGTGACGCCTTCACCTTTGAAAATTCCACTGGTGTAGACACTTAATAAGCCTTTATTTCTTTTATGATGTAATTTGACAATTTTTAATATTGTGAAGTATATAAACCTTAAACAAAACAAATACATTTTATTTCAGAAAATGTGCACATAATGCCATAGGGGGAATTCTTTTTTCATAAATATTTTAAGAAACATCGACACCTTTGCAATTATTAAATATTATCTTCTTGCATACGTAAGAGCCTTATATGCGCTGTCAATATTTTTGAGTTATAATGTTGGAAATGTTTCAAATCCATCGTGGTTCATCATCAGCAGTGTAGATCGAGCAAATTTTCAATAAATCCATAAAAATATGTTATTTTACTATTGTTTTTCCATTTTATGACAAGTTAATCAACTAATTCTGGTTAATAACCTCTTTTTAAACACTTTCGATACTTTTTTAAGTTATAGTTTCAAAATCTGTATTTAGGACGCCACAGAGAGCGGCAAAATTATATTTTCAAGTGAAGAAACTAAGTCACTATTTCACTATTTGTTAAATAGAGTATTTGGTAAACCATTGGTGTCTCACAAATGCTAGAACATACTCACATGAACCAAACGTGACCCCAAAAAGATCATAGTAATGCGGATTCCAGCATATATCAGTGACACTCAGTTTTTTCGTCTTTTCGTACGCAAACTTCCACAAAGGTAGTAAGGTGCCCTCCGAGTCCCTATACTCGTCGGATGGGTCCTCCCAATACCTGTAATCTGTAAGTCAGAAAAATGGCTGTATTAAATTTGGTCATCTGTCAAAGAGCTCATAAATTTATTGCCATTTAGATAAACTCAACAACATATACAACGTGTAAACACAAACACTATCTGTGACTGTATATCATGTATAAAGTGTCGTTGATAGGGTTTGATCTTCAATCAAAATTTATGAAAGCCCAGGACACCAATTGCAACTGTGGCTTGTCCAGTATTTTTGTAAAGAGGGAAAAGGTAACCGGACACTAGGGCTGTTATTGCCATCAGGGTTTTATCCTTCTGTTTATTAGACTATGATTTTATAAGAATGTATGAGTATTGTAGTTTGAGCGGGCGGACTTATGGTCATGACATGTTAACCGAAGCTTATTGTGCATATGAGTGGGATCTTGTCTTGTGGCCAAGTCACAATTAACAACATAGAAAAAAGATGAATTTAGAATTTAGACATAACAATCCATTTTCCCAAAGTATACGTAGTATTACAAAACCATGTACAAATTTTGTTTAGAATTTTGAAAAACAATGTTCATCCATTTAGTCTTTTGTGTAACAACTAAATAAGCTCGTCTTAACCAGTTTACTCTTACTTATACTCCTGAGGCCCTTGAAAACCTAGGCAGTCTTTGACCTCACCAACCAATTGCCTCCAGGATCCTCTGTCTTCTGCCAGCTCCAGATCTGCTCCCATTCTCTTTAGGTCCTTTGTAACCTCGTCAACCCATCGCATCCTTGGTCTTCCCAATGATCTCCTACCCTCCGGAGTACCTCTTATCACTTGATTTACCCTCTCTCGCCCCTGTAATGAATGTGGCCCAGCCACCTCAACCTTACTCTTTACCATCCCCACAATCCAACCAGTTTACTCTAACAATACTTATTGCAATGTATTATACCTTGAGCAATGTCATCGAACGTGTTTTGGTTAATCATCCGTTCTAGTATTTTGGCTGCTTGGATCATCCTTAATGTTACAGCATCAACGCCTAGTTTCTCGTGTCTCTTGCGTGTAACCACCTGAAATCCACAAAATGTTACGCGTAGCAACATCAGCTTGTGATTTTGCCTTTGAAAGTTTGCCTTACTGGCGAAAATTGATTTAAAAAATTCACAAATAATCACATCCACCGCAAAATCCTTAATCCCTGGTCTTTACCAAGAATATTAAATACAATTTTTTTTTGTGAATAATAGTTAAAAAGAATAGTGACAGAAAATAATTTTAGACTAAAGTCCACTGGAGTGTCCTTAACTACAATGTAGTGTTATCAAGAACTGATAAACATGAAGATTTTGAATGTAACATTAGAACATTAGATGCAAGATGGGACAATGGCGGAGGACTGATAGAGAAAAAAAAACATTTTTGTGTTTTTAGATTTTTCATAGTAGTTAGTTGTCTTCTTTGTGGCCACGGAGTTAAGCTAGTCTTCTTTTATTTGTCCTAGGACACTAGGCTCTCCCCAGGATCGTTTTTCACATAACTTTTTAGGCTGAGTTGCATCATTATCACTTTGTATCAAATGCACTGGTGATTTTGCGGGATTTGAACCCGGGACCGAAGTCCCAGGCTATACCACTAGAACTGTTACCCAGAGGTAAGGTAAGTTTGAGTGAAAACATTCTATCTTGTAATATTTTGAATTTCATCACAATGACAAAAGATAGAGTTCTTAGCCAAGATTATTTTTTTTCAGAACCCAAATATAAGTCATTCAAATACGCTGGCGTATTTTAAGTAGAAAGCTTAACCTTTTCATCCATTCAACATAAAATACTACACATCGTTCTAAAAAATTATCCGTTGAAAAGAATTTTTACAAGATCATAGAGTTTGAAAATTTGGAATCAAACTTTTGTCTATAAATTACGGTAATTTACCTCCTCTTTTTTGGGCTGCGTAAGCATCTTCTCCTTCCTCTCTCGCTCCTTTTCTTTTTGCTGGTTCTCGTAATCCTCCTGATACGCATCATAGATGATCCACTGAGTGATATACGCAGCAAAAGAGGATCTTGGCGGTGGATTGGTCTGGGTTCCCATGTTCTACAAAAACCAGATTGTGTCAAAGGACTTCAAACTTTATACAGGTAATCAAAGGTAGTTTATCAAACTATTAGACCACGATGGACTAAATAGAAATGCAAATGCACATTTCCAAAAAGATCTAAAGTTGAAGAAAATTCAAACATTTCAATCAAATATGTCAGATTGTATAGTGAAAAAATCTTTCATTAAATTATGATTCAGCTAGTTCACTGTCTAAAAAACTTTAACATTGAACTATTTTATAAAATATCTATTTTTAGAATAAAATATTTTCAGTTTTAAATGTTATATATTTTTACTAGGAAAAACAAATTAAAAACATTATTTGTGATTATTATGTCTGTTTATTTAAATGACAGAGTCCTGTCTTCGTTGCAGAATAACGTTGGGTATGGTTCTTGAGGGAACCAATCCGACATTTGTCCAACAGAAGAAAGAAACGGTAGAAACTTTTCTCGGAATGGTCGCTCTGATATTCAGAGCTCCCGAATGTGAAGTGACATCATTATCATATTGGTACTCCACTCAGTCAAGATAAATACACAGATTGTATCCTAGCCTAATCATTGTTTGTGAACAGATTTGCAGTCTTTGACAAATACCAAAGCGATTCTACCCACATGCAGAACTAACTCACTCTATCAGGATTGTTGTACGTGAGAGCCGCTCTCTCGCAGAAGTTGAACTGGTTTGTCAGTTTCTTAGACTTCCCTGGTCTGGGGGACGCGCCGCTTTTCTCCACAACTACGTCTATCTTCTCTTCATCAGCGTCTTCCCCCTCCCCCTCTTCGCCAAGGTCTGCTTCTCCCACTACTTCCCCCTCCACTTCCTCCTCCCCTGCTTCTCCTTCTTCTTGTTCATCCAACAGCGCCGGTACGTCTCCCGCGACTGAACCTTGGGAAGGGGCTGCGATCACTCCCAGACCTCCTGAAAAATATAATGATAATTATTGTAAAAATATATGAAAAAATTGAATTTTTGTGTGTGGTTGTACGCCATTCACATTTTCATAACAGTGGCCCTTGATAACAAGTGTAATTTTAAATACCCTTGATTTTATATTACCCTTGATTACATGTTATTGCAAATCTTAATACAAAGAAAACCTTGATAACTGAGAGACTAGTTATTGAGGATCTAATGTATTTGTTGGTAAAAGGCAGTCCAAAACCTGATCTTATATTTTTGTTTTGTTAGCAACATTGATGAATATGTAGGGTATACTACTTCATATGGCATCAAAAATTGATAGCCCATTGAAAAATGGCATCTGTGGGCAGAAAAATCTCGCTTGGGATAAAGCCAGCAACTTGTCACCACCTTTTGGAAACACTACAAATTCAAACAACCCATGTAGATGAAACACTTCTATAGACCAACGTCTCAGACTTGAGGTAGGGTGCCATCAGGGTGGCTTCACTTCCACGCCCCTATAGTAAGGAATAGCTTGTGCTGTGCTCAAACAGTTTGTAACAGCCCTGACAATGGAGGGCAGTAATGTTTTTGAAACTTTGGCATCCTACGAAGCCCAGATAACATGGTCCAATCAAAATGTCACAATGATTTCATTGTTGGAAAACTGCCGTGAAATAAGTTCTTTTCTTTATTAGAAAAATAATCTAATCTAACTGTAGTCACAGAGAAGTAAGGTACAGAGGAGGCACACTTATGGTAACTGTGCGCTCTCAACTCTAGTAACCTATATTGTGCAAGAAATATTCTTGTGACGAGTGAAGAGCCTGAAAGCGAGCACTGTATTCCTCTCGCTCTTAGTACAGGAGTCCTCGAGTACTCGAGGGAGAGGGGTCGATGTTGGACTTTGCCCAAGACACCAGCGACCACACCCCTTAACCACCACTTAAGTGTACCATTGAATGTTTCCTCTGTGAAAATACTCTGTGCAATAGTAGAATCCTAGCGTACCGTCCCATCCGCCTTCCTGTTCCATCTGTTCTATAGCCTCCTGGCTCTCCTTGTGAAGGCATGTTCCTTCCATATCCAGCAGCGTGATCATGTGGGGCGGCTGAGGAGTCGGCACAAACATCCGCTCCTTGAAACTGTACTCGACCATGCTGTCTGGCAACAGAGGGTTGTTGGTGGTCAGCATGCGGGCGATCTCCTCTTGGAGATCCTGGGAACAGAGAGCAGTCAGTAATAAAAATTATAATTAGTAAATTTTCCTATCGGGAAAAAGTTTTTACCATAGGTCTCATGGTAAAACTAAGGCCCGGGCCGATTTTATTTTCGTTTTCATGTTCACAGAGGTCAAAAACAAAAAGTGTAGTTATTTGAAGTTGAATATTGATGTTAAGTGTAGAATTTAAAGATCTGTGTAGCTTTATTACTGATGAGATTTTTCTTTTGCCAGGAGCATTTATTTACAGCCCAATGATCAAGGACAGCTAACTTACTGACTTTTGAGAATTGAACTGTTCACCATTTGATTGTTAGGAGAGGAAGCACTATAAACACACTTGATATCTTTCGGACTTTTAACTAGACAACAGGATGACTATATAATGAAAGGAGGAGCGAGGAAGAGGCTGTTTATACCGAATATCCAAAAGAATTAGTAGTGCGGTGACTTGGAGAATTCCTGATTACTAAGTACCAAAAGGACAACAAATATTTGATAGATAGACATGAAAGTTGTTCCTGTCAATATTTCAAACATATTGAGCCTCAGGAGATTGGCAAATTCACTCTCGAAGTTTTATCTTTCTCCTTAAGAGTAAGGCTAGCGTGTTAATTTTGAATTTTAACTAAAACTACCAATCACAATAAGTCATGCCTGTTTTGGCAATTGCATTTAAAAGATCAAGATTTTTTATAAAGTCAAAGAAGAATTATAATCACCTTATCTGTTAGATCCAGCTGGTCATCTGGCCGAACGAGGTTTTTCCCCTTCAAGAACTGGTCAAAGTCATCCCCGCCCTCCTTGTCTGTTGTCTCTCTCACACCACCCTTGGTCACTGTTTTGGACGTCGCAGCGAGATTTCTCAGACGACCCTGAAATATAAAACAATTTATTAACAAACAAAATAGTTTTTATACAACAATTCTTGGAGCTGAGGCTTATCACTCATCTGGTACGAGTGTGACGAATAGGCGAAGAATCTGTGGGTGCATAACATTAAATAAAGGAAGGCTAGAATTTGGAGACTACCACACTCTCATGCCCCAGTTGCGAAATGATGCTGAAAGGTTCTACATCTATTTTACGTTTATACAACTTCAAGAAAATGTTCAGTTATGCACGACATGGTGTTGTACGACACAGCAGACAGCTGGAAACCGATAAGTTCAGTTTTCTGCAATAATAAAGCGCTGCAAACGCTGCGGGAAGCGCGGGAAACCGTAGTGTTTCCGTTCCCGCCTCGTGCTCGCTTTCCGCAGACCGGGCCGGTGTGATTGGTTTCATATCCCGCCATGGTACAAGCTGCCTGCGCGGGAAAATTCTGGGAATTACAATCGTTCCCGCATTTGTGTGTACGGGCCTTAAGACGTCTAAATGTGTTGACACCATTCAAGTTTATATATATGTGTCCGTTATTATGATAAACCAAGTAAACATTATCCAATTTCGCATGAACAACATGATTGGACTTTAGGAAAAGAGTTTTATATTGGGTAAAAATTGTTTTTTTCTAATTTTTAATGTTTAAAACATAGAATTTCCCAATTTCTCTCCCAACAACTTGGTAGACCTTATAAAAAAAGACTAGTATTTTGAAGTGGTTTTGTATGGTTATTGTAAAGAAATTAAAAAAAATTAAAAATGTCCATGTTTTTTTAATGGAGAATAAGTAAAAACTGTTGTAGTGTGTGTTTCTTTATAGATACATTTTTATCAAACTTGGGAAATCTATTTATTTTATTAAGCTATTAACATTTTAATAAAAGGCATACCGTACTTTATTACCTTCCCTGTAGCAGTCAACCTAAAGTACTACTTAAACCTGTTATTTAAATATGGAATGAATCTGACGGGTTTGAGGAAATATTTCCGTCAAAATCCAATCAGGAAAATGAAAATTTCCTTCGTCTGCAGGTTTGCTGCAGAAGGGTTGTACCTGATTATCCTTTGTTGTATTTTATAAGTGTTACTGTTAATTCTCCCCCTTTTTAATTGAAATTATTTAGAGTAATTTTTGTTAATAATATTAACCAGAATTATAAGATAAAGTGGTTGAATCAAAAGTGTATCAGTGAGGATTAACCTCAGGATTTTATTTTCATAAAAATGTTCATTCCAATAATTTTACTGAATTCTATGAACATATGCACTACAAACTAAAAGTCTAGGAGCAGTCCCAGTTTTAAACCGGTCCCACATAGGGTATTGAATAACTAAAACACAATTCTGTGCAAGGTTTCAAATCCATGTGAATAACTCTATTGACCCTCCAAAACACTCCAATCTACAACTAAAATTTTGATTAGTTACTGACCTATATAAGTAAGATTTACCTTGTTCATTTTAATCAATAGAAAAGCAGGTCACAAAATAAAAACTATTCACAACAAATTTCTACAGCATGCACTATTATTTACCATGCTAGATTTAGGTTGTAGCAGAAGTCTCTTTGACATTTTGAATGTTTGTATTTAGCTGAACTGATGTTTAAAAGAAAGTTAAATCATATGTTAAAATGTCAACTTTGAAATTTAAAGTACAGTACCAACTTAGCAAGGACATAGATGTTGAGTGGTTGCTATGGAAACATTATGCAATCTGGCAGCAGGTTGTCCAACCAATGCACTTAGTTTGTAGAAAATATATCAGACATAAAGATTAGTGTGTATTTCTTCTTAGATTAAACGTCCTCCCTCATAGAATTTCATCCTTTTGGAACAGTTAACAGCTGTAGAAGTTAATTTTGTTAACTGTTCCTATCAAAGTTTTATATTTGATACAAAAATCAACCATTTTAGTTACAACTCAGATAGCCTATATGATAAACAAATCAGATATGATTTTATTTGACATGTATATCCATGTCCTTGTCCGTAAACATGATACCTCAAGTAATTTTTTGTCTGAAAATGATGAAATTTTGCATAAATGTCTAGAGCAGGATAAACTTGAATGAGTTCATGAACCAGCAGCATTGAGTCATAGGAATGTGTTATGGGGGTTTGGAAGTTTTTTTTTTTTAAATATGGGTTTTCAAAATTATACCCTAAAGCTATTTTGTATAGGTACTAATACAACAATAAATTTTGCAGACTGAAGCATTGTGGTACAATCAAAGGTTACGGAGAAAATTCCAAAAAATATTTTCCATTTTAATCTTATGGAGAACTTGAAAACTGTTGTAGTTTGCCTGTTTATGGGTATTTTGATCCAATTTACTGAAAATACAGATTTTTCTTTAAATTAATAAGGATGATTTTATTTCATTTGAATTACTTTTGTTTAGCTTGCCAACTACTTGAATTTGAACCACCCCAAAGATACTTGTTGAATATTTCGATTTGTTTACTTTTTAGATAGTAAAGTAGTGAAGAGAATGTTATTTGTCGAAATATAGGAGCGATTTGGGAAAGATGTAAAAAGTAAATTTACGACGCCTGTATTTCTGCTACTGCAGTTCGTTTACAGTATTCGTGCCCGGTTGCCGTGCCATGCTAGCAGGCGCGATGACATTTCCTTAATAATGCAGTAATTTTTAACCATCCTTTTTATATTTCTGGCTCACGGAAGCCGTCCTTATCTTCGGCAGGGGTTGAAAGTAGTTTATTCACGAGTCATGTCAATTGTTCTTTGAAAGTTGTAAAGAAAGTAAAACATGCACGTTAGGGCACGCGAACCATATTTAACATGTTTGGTGGACATTTAACACTACAATAGTTATTTTTGTGATGGAAAATTGATATAACCAAGACTTTGGGTACTGTAACGTCTCGTACGAATTCTGTTAGTCTTGTTTATAAATATACCAATAACCAAATCAGTTACCTTTAAAAAAAGCATTTCATTTTTACAGTTTTTTAAGTTAATTTACATAACTAGCAACAAAAAACTTTGTGGGCAAAATAAAAATTGTGTAAACATAGAAATTGATTTATTATGCGTCTATACTGTATTAAATTTTAATGAAGTTTTATCATTTGGTGACGTTTTACAATTTGTGGATGTTCAAATCGTGAGCTTAATAACAAATAATTTAGTACATTAAAATGTTTTATACAGTTATTGGTTACGGATAAAATTACAAAATGTAAATTAAAAAACCTCAAGTTATTCTAATAGCGATTATTTTTAACTATCGTTGTTTATGTATTATGTTTTTTTTCCTTATTTAAAGACACATTTTTATAAAATTGGCTAAATTTATTTGTTTCTTATCATACTATTATTATTTTATATACTATATTACCCTCCCTGTAGCAGCAAACCTAGGTACCAGTTAAACCTAATCTTATTCAAATAGGTTTGTGAAAATCAAATCAAGCAAATGGAAATTCGCTTAGTCTGCAGGTTTGCTGAGGTGGGGGTATTTTTATTCGAGCTTTCATTTATTTTCTATTAATAGCAAATAAACTGGCATACTCTCTAAATCAATATGGTGTTTGCTTCAAACAACTATATTTTGGAAATATTGAAAAAACCACAATTTTTATACGTCTTTGGAAAATTTATTTATTTTGATGGTCTGTATTTTGACCATTATTTACGCTACATACTTGCTGTTGGGCTTAAACTGTCACAAATGTATTCTTCTTTAATGTAATAATATAAAATTTTCGATAAAATTAACGGTTCGCGAGATTGAGTGAAAAACAATAGGAATTGCCATATTTTTGATATTTCGATAACAAGTGGCGCGCCCCGCTGCGAGCGGCAGTATCTCGAGGTGGATAACTTGGATTTTATGTTGTGGGCCCAATACTAACAACATATCCAAAAATCAGAACTACCCGACCTTTTGCATACCAAAATGTCTTATTTTACTGGACTATTGAGAAGGGGTCGCCACCTATTTGCGTATTTGAACCCAAATACTGTATGTGTGAAGGATGAGTGTAGAATGTTGTTAGATGATCTGTGTAGCTTGGTTGCTGACTAAGATCAGCTGTTTTAGCCAGGACCATTTATTTAAAGCCAAATAAACAGGAACAGCTGATGTTTTCAAACCCGAATGTAAACTTTTTCCTCGACAGTCTATAGATCAAATAGCTGGGTAGCTGAGTGGTTAAGTGCTCGCTTAAAGGTTCGCCGGTTCGATCCTAAGAAATGTTGGTAGCTTTTTCATGGTTCAAAACTGGCTCAGCTGTCCTTAATCGTTTCTAATTAGTTTGTCAACAACTCTTATAATGGGTTAAGCGGTGGGAGTAACCAATATTTTTATTGGTCAAATCGCAAAAGTTGTAATAACTTTTGAACGGTAGTTTTAAGGGTTTTAGGAGTTTGGGGGGGGGGGGGGTTAAGGGGTCTTTCTCACTTCATTCTACCACATACTATAGAGTAAACCATTACATATTCTATCGTCTGTGATTCTACTACGCTTAACCTTCACTACTATTTGGGTTAAAATACGCACCCATCTCGGCTGGTAAAGTAATAATAACAATAATTTACGGCGCGTGCCTTAATCTAGGCTAGAACCCCCGAGGAAGCGATAGAGTGAATAAACAAAGTTTTATTTGTGTTCACAGTTTTGAAGCTGGTGAAACAACAAAAATAAATAGTAAACACAACTCGTGTCCTAACTTTTTAACGAAATCAAAATTAAGGGAAGCTCCATCTTTCGTGTAACTACAACTATCACAAGGCTAACAATAAACAATAACTACAAAACAATAAACGGTATCAGCAATCTGACACATACTTTCTCTCATCAGCTTGTAAACAACCCTTATCATAAGTAAGCGGTGGAAGTAACTATGATATACAGGGAAAACCACAAAAGCTGTACCGGTAATAGCTTTTGAACCGTAATTCTTACAACAATGGAGTTCCTAAAATTTGGTTAAGAGTTCAAAGGACTATAAATTACTAAAGTTTAATCAAAATCGTTTGAGCAATTTGTGTCAAAATTCGATTTTATTTTATATTTTAATTTAAGTTTTAATGGAAAATTTTCCATCAAAGCTTCAAAAATGTGAAAAACACGTGGAAATGCAATTCATTGATTAATACCAACATAACGAATTTCATCAAAATTGGACCACAGGTGTTGTCTGAAGCTTTGTACACATCCACACAGACATCACATTGAAAACAACTTTTTTTTGTTCTGAAGTAGCCTACCCAAAACGGATATCTCCACAAAAAACCCAAACTCGAAATATTTGACGAAAACAATAGGCCTACTTTCTCTATATACTTTTAATACTTTTACATAACCCGCCATGTTAAACTTCCCTGTCCCAAGCGTGATGTATATAACTTCGTTACTTCTCGAGTGATGTAAAGTTGAAAAAAAACTCACTCGGTGATGTAAGGAAACCCATTTAAATAACATTCTATGGAGCCAACGACGTTCAACGCTAGAAATCAGCTGTGCGCTTGAATTTTATTGTTATGTTTTGAAGAATTTTCCTAACCTAGCTTTTGTTTGTAAATAAACGTTACTGTTAGAAGATGAGTGAAATGGATAATGAAAAATATTGTTCGTAACCTGCTGTATATTGTCGGGTCAGGTAAAATCTTGTACGTTACACGTTACGCAAGAGCGTGTTTACATCACTTCGGTAAATTATGCAACTCGCTTCCGCTCGTTGCACAACATTCACCTGCGTAATGTAAAAACGCTCTTACTACACTTGTAAGGTAAATAGCTATTACTTGAAATGGCGACCATACAAAGTAGGTATTTTAAGCCAAGTATGAATGGAGATGAGTGTAGGATGAGTGGCGCGATCTTGTAGTCTTGTTAGTGACTAAGGCCATAGACAAAAATAATTTCTTTTTGCCCACAAAAAGAATTCTTGTCATTCGCCTATTTGGGTCTGATGATGATTGGAGTGTCCAATCGAAATCGATCACCACTTACCATCTTTTTTGTATATGTATTTACCGTCTTGTGAGTAAGAGTATAAGCGTAAATATATCTTTTAAGTGTTATAAGACGTTTATCTTATTTACTTTCCGTAAAAAGAATTAAATGAAATTCTTTTTGTCTATGCTAAGGCCGACATGTTCCTTAGACACAGCTGTTAATTAATAGCCCATACAGCTAATGGAAACTAAGGGACCTACAGTTTTTTGGAATCTGAACCACATTTTTGCCTTTGGTATATACGAATAGGTCTAATTATCACGATAGTACTGCGGATAGTCGTAGTACTCACTAGTGCGGACGTTAATCCACACCAGGGAGTATCGCATCCACAGTGCATGCCTATAAATATCCACAATTCGTATGGGGAGAAAGTAAAAATAGCGAAAATGGAACTTGACACTTTTTTGTGAGAGAATCATTTAAATATGTTATTGTATACAAAGTAGGCCAGAAAAATAGAGCTGAGCCATACATATGGAATGTCTACTTCAGTATACAAAAATCAACTATTTTACATTGTACATAGCATTATTATTCTACTGGCTATCAGAAGTACCCAAGGCC